AAAAGGAGATACCTGTAGCCACCATTAATACACCCACCCCAGCAACAATAGACCCCCCTGCAAGAAAATACCTCCACCCAGCAACAATAGATCCAACCTGCCAACAATAGACATCCCCAGCAACAATAGATCCACTCAAACAATAATAGATTCTCCCCAGCACCACCAGCAATAATAGATACCCCTAGCTACAATAGATACAACCCAGCAACAATAAACCCCACCTAAAACAATAGATCTACCAGTAGCCAGCATCAATAGACCCTCCAGCAGCCAATAACAATAGACTCCTCCCTCAACAGTAGATCCCTCACAGTAACAATAAATGATCCTCCCAGCAACAATAGATCCCTCCAAGTGACAATAGATCCCCCAGCAACCAACTTCAATAGATCTCCAAAAGCCAGCATCATGAGACCCTTCAGCAGCCAGCCAACAATAGACTGCTCCCTCAACAGTAGGTCTCTCCCAGTAACAATTTACCACTCCCCAGTGCAAAAATAGATCCCTCCAAATGACAATAGATCCCCCAGCAGCCACCTTCAATAGACCTTCCAGCACACTCCGTCACCTCTAGCCATTACATACTGTACATTCGATGCTGGAGGTGCCTGAACTGTGTTCCCCCATGTTTCAGCTGAAAAAAAAAGCCCTGCACATATTGATATTACACTGTGCTTCACAAAATCCAAAGACCCAGAATGTTTTTATTACATGGATCATAATTCCAATGCACCTGAGAAAGTCCTACTCAGTATTGCATTTTTAAAGCTAATCAAATTCAGGGATGATGGTATACACATAGAATTGCTCTTGGGGTCCAATGTGACTAATTCCAATATAATATAATAACCTTGTGGGCATTAAAACTTCATAAATACAAATACATCATGGTGGTGATCACACTGCTGCACTGAAGGTAGAAAGTGGAGGGACAAGTGTGAAGGGAGTCACTTTGGGTGGGGGGCCCATGGAACACAGCTTACTTTAGAGAGGTGGGGAGACCCCTGTCTCAGCTCCCCATATCCCTCTTATGTGTAAGTCACCCTGTGCCTGTTAGGGGTACAGGGCGATTTGGCCTAATATTGGGGTGGGGGGTTGTGGATTGTTTAATGCCATGTGGTTGCATCCCATTGTTCTATAGTGTGTCTTACTTGGGAGCAAACTATTATGGGATGTATGTGTTTATGTGTATTGGCTTGGAGGGGGGGGGGGGGTGTCTGCAGCAGCCTCCCTCCTGATGGGACTGTCTGTTGGTGTGTCTCTTGTTACTAAAGGTAGATTGCCCCGCCCTGTGTCATTATGCAGGGAGGGGGGGGGGGGTTTTCCCTTGAATGTATATATCTTTTATCTGTGTTAAAATAAAGTAGTCTATTTCCTTGTTTTACTTCAAGACTGGTGTTGTCTAGTGTTGTATGGTCAGCGGTGGTGTCCGTGGTCGGTCTTTGTACGGGGAAGCGGTATTATAACAGAAGTACCCAAGTGCAGTCGGGGTCCGGTTCCGTTACAACAAGTATTCCCAATCAAGAAAGAGCTGGAATCCTAAAAATTAGGTTTATGACATTGATCCAGCTTGGACCTTCATAAGTATGTAGGTGCCATACTTATGGGATCCCTGTGGAAGCTGGAAATATGTATTAGACACCGCTACTCAAGTGATCTCCACTAACTTACAGGTCCTTTGCTGAGTGGCTGCCCACCTGCATGTGTACACAGGAGGTCGCTCCCTGGGCACTGGCCCCATTTAAAGAAAACGTTACGTTTGCATTTTCTCATTGTAACCATGTTTACTGCCACTGACTTGCTTTCATTGATGGCATTGGTGGCTTTTACACCCATCCCTGGGTTGTGTGTACTTATTAGGTTGGCTATCAGCTTTCTTGTGAAAATGAGTTGGGTAGCTGCCAATCTCTTCCACTGGTTTGGCAATGTGTAGCTCAGATGCCCGACTCCCCCCATACAATGTATCCCAGTTTCGCTGCCCCGCCTGGTAGAGTCATGTTGGGTGCTGGTAGGGAATTCATAGGACATCCAATTGCTCATCATCTCTGCATTGAATAAAGGCAGATGTGAACAAGCTTCTTGCCACTTCCAGTTTCAAAGATATCTTCCCCGAACATAGACGCATGCAGAAGGAGTGCCTACGTATGAAAACAATGATTGCAGTACACATATTAGGTATCACCATGTACATTGGAGTGAGGGCCATAATTCTTCGGCCATCATTCACAGTTAACTTTAAACTGATGACCCTTAAGAGCTTTTAAAGTGTTGCCTATGGACAATTTTGTTGCAATTTAAAGTCTTGATGTGTTTGGTAGCTATTTACTCAACACAATCTCATCTTTTATATTTTACCAAAAATTAGATAATATATTGGTTTTTCTATGCATTCTTCACTGAAATATGGATTTGATAAACTATTGTACTAATATCATGTGACATAAAAAATGGCAACTACCGCCATTTTTTTGAACACCAGGGTCTCTGCTTTCGGAAAACATATAATGTTTGGGGTTTATCTAATAATCAGGCCTAAAAATGTGCATTTTAACACATGTACCAAAAATGCAAAAACAAAAGGGTTATAGGGAGCCCATCTAAATTTGCATGGGTCCCAACACGTGATATGTTTATGCTAGTTCCTGGTCAATGAATGACCATATAATGAAGGAAGGATGGGGGTAATACCCCAGAAGATCCCAAAACAAGCATTGGAAGCTGTAACTGTGATGCATGGAAGGTCACACAGCAATAATGTCACTGGATAATATATTCAGCCACAATCAGCTAGTAGATGTTCCCCGCCCAGGAACCAACCCTATTTTATGCATATCACCCTTTTGGGTGTAATTGTTGAGTGCTCTTAAGCCCTTTGAGGTGAAACATTTCAGAGGCTGGTTCCTGAATGGGGGGGGCTGCTGTCAAGGTCCTACCTTTTCCCAGAGGTTATGTTACTCCATGTGCTGGCATCCATCTTGGATTTCTGCAGAGCATGGTGGGAATCCTTTATGCCTTCAGGTCTCTAAGGTCCATTCCCCAGAGGGGTGTGGCTGATTACATATAAGCCTGTGGTCCGCACATGCTCTTTGCACTTGTGTCTTGTGTCTTGGTGTTGCCATAACTCTGTTCTGACTCTCGTGACTCTCCTGGAATCTGACTCGGCTTGTGACTCGACCATTCTTTGTATTCTCCTTTGATCTGACCCTCCGTTGCTGAACCCGGCCCGTGACCTGTGATTCTTGTCTGCTGTCCTGTACCGTTTTGTCCCGTTGTTGTCGACCCAGCCCGCCCGACTACTCTATTGTCCTTTCCACCAGCTACACGCCATTGGCGGCGGCCATTACCACAACTGGGGTGTCTCGGGGGCCGCGACCTGGTTCCTGGCTGCGTCAAGTCCATCCCCACTATCAGGGGCCCTGGTGAAGGGCATCCTGGGACTTAGACTCCGCGCCCTGAGGGACTTCGGTCTGTGGGTGGTGGTTGTCGTCAGTCAGTGCGTTACATTGTTAATAGGCCTGCCTGTCCATTCCAGCGTTCCTGTCCTGACACTTGCTCATGGCTGGTTGTGGCTGAATAAAGTTTTATCCAGTAAGGGTGCTCTTAAGCCCATCAAGGTGAAACATTTCAGGGAGTGTGACTTCTGATGCGCTTCACCTTGAAGGGCCTAAAAGCACTCCACAGTTAAACCTAATGGGGTGAAACATGTCAATAAGGATGGTTCCTGGGAGGGGATTCATTGTTGGACAGTTGTGGCTGAAAAACGTTTTATCTGGTGATGTTATTAGTGTGCAACATTCCATTAATCACGTCTATGGAATAGAGATGGGCTCCCTGGTCAGCACCCAACACTGCAATTGATGACAAGGGGAGTGTCTGGAGTGGTGCTGCTTTTTCCATATCAGCAAAATATGTAAGTGTAGCCTGCACAGAGGACTAATCAGCTAGACTGGCCACTGCAAGCAAAACCATAAATGTGTACCCAGTGAACAAATGTGTAAGTTCAAATATAAAAGTTGCTGAGTTGCCTCTACTAAAACAATTGTGGATAAATACACACCCTACTGCATAAAGGGTCCCTACAAATGTACATATGCTTCAATGCCCTATGGGCTGACAATAAAAACAAAAACCAATATGTACTGTATATTCAATGTGCTCAAACAAAAATCGTGCTAAAAATATCAAATATACAATACAATCAAACTGTGTATGCAGTGAATTTGAAACCAATGTGTACATATATTAAAGTCCCAATAATTATGCAAACATATGAAAGTTCCAAAGAAAATCCCAAATATTCCAGTAAATCCCCATCAGCATCCAATGTGAATACTAAGTGATATAATAGTTAATCTTATTATCCATAACATTTTCTCTGTGCGAAGTGCTCCAATTAGTGCTCCCCCTCCAGAGCCCCACTCACCACAGATAATTGACCACCTGGAATGGTAGTTCAAATATTATTATTATTATACAGGATTTATATAGCACCAACAGTTTGCTCAGCACTTTACAATATAAAGGCGAGACAATACAGCAACAATACAGTTCAATACAAGAGGGTTAGGAGGGCCCTGCTCCTTGGAGCTTACAATCTAGGAGGGGAGGGGCTAGTGGTTCAAAAGGGAATAACTGTGGGGGATGGACTGGTAGGAGGAGTAGAAGATTCCATTATTAGCTGATGGCAGGATAGGCTTCCCTGAAGAGATAGGTTTTCAGACTATCGCCTAAAAGTGAGCAGAGTAGGTGATAGTCTGATATATTGGGGTTGAGAGTTCCAGAGGATGGGGGAATCTCTGGAGAAGTCCTGGAGACGAGCATGGGAGGAGGAGACAAGGGAGCTAGAGAGCAGGAGGTCGTGCGAGGAGCGGAGAGGACGGTTTGGGTGATATTTGAAGACAAGATTGATTATGTAATTTGGGGCAGAGTTATAAAGGGCTTTATATGTTATTGTTAATGTTTTGAATTGTATCCGTTGGGCAACTGGGAGCCAGTGGAGGGATTGGCGGAGAGAGGTGGAGGACACTGAATGGAGGCCAGTGGAGGGATTGGCAGAGAGGGGTGGAGGACACTGAGTGGAGGCTAGTGGAGGGATTGGCAGAGAGAGGGGTGGAGGACACTGAGTGGAGGCCAGTGGAGGGATTGGCAGAGAGGGGTGGAGGACACTGAATGGAGGCCAGTGGAAGGATTGGCAGAGAGGGGTGGAGGACACTGAATGGAGGCCAGTGGAGGGATTGGCAGAGAGTGGTGGCAGATACAGAATGGAGGCCAGTGGAGGGATTGGCAGAGAGGGGTGGAGGACACTGAATGAAGGCCAGTGGAGGGATTGGCAGAGAAGAGTGGAGGACACTGAATGGAGGCCAGTGGAGGGATTGGCAGAGAGGGGTGGCAGATACAGAACAGTTAGTAAGGTGAATGAGTCTGGCAGAAGCATTCATGATAGACTTAAGAGGGGATAGCCTGCGATGAAGTCGGCCAATGAGGAGGGAGTTACAATAGTCAGATATAACAAGGGAATGAATAAGTTGCTTAGTGGTTTCTGAGGTTAGAGGAACGGTCGTATCTTGGAGATGTTACGGAGGTGAAGTCTACATGATCTGGACAGCGGCAGAAAGGACAGATGGGAGTCTAGGATTACATCTAGCACCCTGGCATGAGGGGAGGGACTGATGGTTGTGTTATTGATCTTGAATATCACATTAGATGTTGCAGCTCTCTCCTGCAGAAAGTTGGCCATCTGTGTGGTCTTGATACCTCTACACGCTGACGACAGACTCCATATGTGGAAACACCTCTAGACCAATCATTTGTGAAAACTCCTCGAGAACATCACAGTTCTGGGGGAGTTTTCCATATCGTCTAGCACACAAAGCTTACATAGTTCACGCCTTTTACCATCAGCCTAAAATGTTATAAAGGAAACAAGTCAGGAGTGTATATGGAAAGGAACAGCAGCGTAGAACATGCATTTATTGTGCATATTTTGTTGTATATAATTCACAAGAGAAAGATTATTGAAATCGGGTCAAAGTTGGAGAAATCATTTAAAAGACATCTGGATGCTTTTCGGATTGGCCGCCATCATTCTAATGCTGCTCCTCATTACAAATCATCCTCTCTGCAGTCTTATAATAAGTTCTTTCCCCTAGCAGCAGGAGGTGTTAAGGGTGAGTTAATGGCATTCAACCCTCATTCTCCATTCAGATCCCTAAACTGCATAAGAGATGCTGCCAGTTCCAATTAAGGTGTAAATCAGCCCAAGGAGAATGCACTGGCAACATACCATCATCATTAAAAATTCATTTTAAATTCCCTTTAATAGCCTTGATCATGGTTACCCCATTTAGCTGGCACTCTGGCAGGAGTCACATGTGCTGCTCTAAGTGTTCCACTGGAACTTGTAGTTGGTAATAGAGATGCTGAAAATGAAGTGTTCTATCACTGCTGACTGCAGTTTAATCCAGACACGCTTTCAGCACTCTGTCGTTGCTGCTTTTGGAACATTTTCTCATTACTGTAGACCAGACTCGGCCCCGGCAGCTTGTGTTCTCTGCCTATGACGGATGACCAAGGCTTCTGTAAAAAGCCCAAGAAAAGCTTCTGGTTTGTAACTAACATGATAGTACTGACTCCAGAATGTAGGCTAAACAATTTTATTTTTCAAGGCTTGTCTAGTTGAGAGGATTTGTTTTTTTTTTTGGGGGGGGGGGGGAATCTTAAAAAGCAGACCTGTAGCAGAAAATAAGATGAAAATTAATAGATAAAATAACAAAACAAGCCTTTGATGCATTATGTTAAAGAATAAGTTCCCTTTTCATAACATGTTACATGTTACACCCATATTCATATTCATTGAATTCATGTAACATGTCATGGAATGAGCAGCCCCCGCAACTCCCAATCCCCCGCTTTGACAACTAGCTGTCAAGATTTTTTTTAAAATGCGATAGCGTGGGGCACTGCCCGCCTGGCCATGTCACTCATTCACAGTATTCTGTGAATGAGAAACTACAAGTACCAAATACAAGTACCAACCTTAGCAGCTCTCGGCTTGTAGTTATCATGAACTACCGCGGCACTGTGAGCACCATGGTAGGTCATTGATTCTTCCTGTCAGTAACTAATCGGTATGGGCAAGTAGATCACTGACAGCTCTACAGAAGTCCTGCGTGGCATCAGCAATCTGCTGATCAGTGGTGCAATACCTTCCAGGCTCCTACAACAAATGATAATAAATGCATATTTGTTTTCCTGAAAAAAAAAATGTACATTTAATATTTTTTGTTGAAAGATGAACTGATCCTTTAATATTACAGCCAGCTCTTTGTTTTGTTATTTTATTTTTTAATGGGGCTATTTCATTTTTATCTTTGGCTAGAGTTCAATCCCAAGGCTTCCTCCACAGTACCTTTATCTACACAAGATGTCCTCAGTCTGGTGGCTAACCCACTTCATCCCGGACTAGCCCCCAACTTATGACTGGACAGTGACAGGAGAAACAGCGCATTGATGAGTCTATGGGAGTTATTTAAAAAAAAAAAACGAAGAGTGCAAAATCTTGTGCAACGCTGCATAGAAACCAATCTAACAAGGTCCTACCTTTCCTCAGGGCTTGTGCTGCTCCATGTGCTGGCATCCATCTTAGGTCTGCAAAGCATTGTGGGATCCTTTATGCTTTCAGCCCTCTGCGGCTCCTCCAAGGAGGTGGCGGCTTATCACATTTAAATCTGCTGTTTGCAGCTGTCCATTGCATTCGTGTCCTGTCTGTTGCACAGCAGCAAGCTCCTGTTCAGTTAACTTTTTGCTCTCCTGGATACCGACTGGGCTTTGGCTAAGACTCCTCCTGGCTGACCCTGGCTCTGGCGACCATTCCTCCTGGCTTCTGACCCCGGCTCTGGCAACCATTCTTCCTGGCTTCTGACCCGGCTCTGGCGACCATTCTTCCTGGCTTCTGACCCCGGATCTGGCGACCATTCTTCCTGGCTTCTGACCCCGGCTCTGGCGACCATTCTTCCTGGCTTCTGACCCCGGCTCTGGCGGACCATTCTTCTGGCTTCTGACCCCGGCTCTGGCGACCATTTCTTCCTGTCTTCTGACCCCGGCTCTGGCGACCATTCTTCCTGTCTTCTGACCCCGGCTCTGGCGACCATTCTTCCTGCTTCTGACCCCCGGCTCTGGCGACCATTCTTCCTGTCTTCTGACCCGGGCTCTGGCGACCATTCTTCCTGGCTTTTGACCCCGGCTCTGGCGACCATTCTCTGGCTTCTGACCCGGCTCTGGCGACCATTCTTCCTGGCTTCTGACCCCGGCTCTGGCGACCATTCTTCCTGGCTTCTGACCCCCGGCTCTGGCGACCATTCTTCCTGGCTTCTGACCCCGGCTCTGGCGACCATTCTTCCTGGCTTTTGACCCCGGCTCTGGCGACCATTCTTCCTGGCTTCTGACCCCGGCTCTGGCGACCATTCTTCCTGGCTTCTGACCCCGGCTCTGGCGACCATTCTTCCTGGCTTTTGACCCCGGCTCTGGCGACCATTCTTCCTGGCTTCTGACCCCGGCTCTGGCGACCATTCTTCCTGGCTTTCTGACCCCGGCTCTGGCGACCATTCTTCCTGTCTTCTGACCCCGGCTCTGGCGACCATTCTTCCTGGCTTTTGACCCCGGCTCTGGCGACCATTCTTCCTGGCTTCTGACCCCGGCTCTGGCGACCATTCTTCCTGGCTTCTGACCCCGGCTCTGGCGACCATCTTCCTGGCTTCTGACCCCAGCTCTGGCGACCATTCTTCCTTGGGGCTTCTGACCCCGGCTTTGCTACGATTCCCGCTGGTTCTCGACTTGATTATCCTGGAAGACGACCTCAGCAGGAGAACTTCTGTCCTACCAAGTCATCCGCTGTTGCTGTCGGACTTGCATAGACTCTTGCCTTGTTTCTGTTTAAATAAAACATACCTTTAATTGCACCTCCTTGTGTGTCTGGCTCCTCGCTCCCTGACACAATCAGCTTCCAGATTTTATTGCCAAAGCTTAATTGAACAAGCTGAACTTAGAAGCTGATTGGCTACCATGCACAGCTGCACCAGATTCTACATGCACCAGTTTTATTTATCTACCCCTATCTTTCTGTTACCTTCTATCAGCATACTTCTTTTTCAACACTTCAGCTGATTGGCTCCTTGTGCTGCTTCTTCCTCTCACAACCATGCTGTACCGGGATGGTAAAAGGCTGATCCCAGGTCACGATCAGGTGCTTGTATTAAAAAAATAATACATTTAATTATTTATTAATGATTACAGAGCTGCTTTAATTTGTGTTCTTTATAACTATTTTAAGTAAATGTAACCCCAGTCAATAAAATCTCATATAAGCTTTAATATGTTAATATAATTTCAAATGTTATTTTTGATCTTTTTCTAGCTTCAGTTTTCATTAAAATATTCCCTGTTGATCCTGCCTTGGAGGTCCTTGCTTAGGAATTGTTTGTTACAAGGTTTTTGTCTCCCAGTTGTGCTCATGTGTTGTCACACTGTAGCACTGACCTGTACAGGGACTATAAGAGGCTTATACGAGGTCAAATTTAGGTACTTACATTGATTGTATAAAAAATACATTTAATGATGTATTAACCTCCCTAGCGGTATTCCCGAGTGTAGCTCGGGGTAAAATGTCAGTGCCAAAAGCAGTAACCCCGAGCTACACTCGGGCTTACCATGCGGCGCTGCGTAGGGAGTCCCTGCAGAGCTTACCTTGTCCTTCGCTCGATCCGCGATGTGTCCCCTGCAGCGTCCCCGGCCATCTCCTCCGGCCGATGCCGGCATCCAGCTTCTGTGTTCCGGTCCCTGTGACGTCGAGACGTACGGCGGCTGGAAATTTTAAAATTTTAAAAAATGTCATTTTTTTCAAAACACATTTTTCATAGTAAAACATTGCTGTTTCAAACCATTTCACATACATTTTGTCCCGAGTGCTTTGTCCGGCGCCCTGCCTGCATTTTGTCTGTTCTTTCTGCCTGGAAACTGAGAAACGTCCCATGACGTCCAAAAAAGCGCCCCTTTAGGTCAAAAGCGGTTTTAGACCGGCTAGAGAACAGCGATAGTAAATCAGAACCACTTGCAGAATTGAGTGATAATGATTCGTGGGGGGAAATTCGTCATCAGACACTGAAAACGATTCTGCGACTTTGCTCAGCAATGTGCGAACTTGGCGCTTTATTTCAAATTTCAGTGTTTTCAGTTTGATTATATCATTGAATTAAATGTAATATTATTATATTATTCTTTTTTATGATTATTTATTAAATTATAATTTATGATTTTGTGTTTCAAATTTTATCCTACCCGGGATGTTTACTAGACTCTTGTTCGGACAGATTTCAGTGAGTTATTCCTAAAAATTACAGCCTACAATAAAAAAACTACATATTTCCATGCAAAATAATGGTAGCACCAAAAATCTGAAATAATCATACCGCCGAGGAGGTTAATGATTACAGAGCTGCATTAATTTGCCTTTTACAGTATATACAGTATGCCTGGAGTTCAGCTTTAAACAAAATGTAGTGTCTTAAACCCCAAATACACATATTTTGCTGTTACACACTACTAAACATATGTTCTGCAAGCATCCATCATTTTTTTAA